GCTTTACCGTCTAAGTAGTTGAAATCAGAAAAATGACCCTCAAGAAAATGCGAAACGGGAAATTCGCTTACAAGAACTCGTATAAGGAGGTTTCGCTCTAAGAAAGCTCGCCCCAGGTGAATTTTTACATTGAAATTATTCTACCAGGAAAATGCTGTGATAGGAAGATTGACCGCCAAAGTAGTTGTATTCGAATGACCCCCAAGAAAATTGAGAACGGAGAATTCGCTTAAGGAGGTTACTCTCACAAGAAAACTTGCCCCAGGTACATTGAAAAATTCTACCAGGAAGATTGACCGCTCAAGTAGTTGGAATTGGACGAGCCTCCAGAAAACGCGCTCCAGGTGAATTTATACATCGAAACCAGGACCAATCGTCGACAGTCAGATTCACCGGCAAAGCAGTTGGATTCGGAAAAAAGACCCTCAAGTAAATTCAAAAGGGAAATTTCGCTTATAAGAACTCGTAGGAGGAAATTACTCTCATAAGAACACTCGCCCCAGGTGAATTCATACATTGAAAAAATTCTACCAGGGAAATTCACTGACAGGAAGTCAGCATAAGGAGGGGACTCTCATAGGAAAACTCGCTCCAGGTGAATTCGTACATTGAAACAATTTTACCAGGAAATTCGCTAACAGCACGATTAATCACCGAAGTAGTTTGATTCGGATAAATGACTTTCAAGAAAATTCAGAATGGGAAATTCGCTTACAAGAGCTCGTGTATGGAGGTTACGCTCATAAGAAAACTAGCTCCAGATGAATACGTATCTTGAGAAGGAAAATTCACCGCCGAACTCATTGGCAACAGAAAAATTATCCTCAAAAAAATTCAGAGCTAAAGGTGCAGGAAGGAAAATTGCCACCCCCCATCCGAATAGGTTAGTTCAAAAGAAATAGTTCCCAAGAAATCCGCTTCGACCTTCCCCATTCGTTTATTATCAATTTTCTAATCCAATAATCACCTACCGATTAGATAAGGTGTATACTCTTTAAAAAATAAATGGTGCACGTGGCCTGATAAGTTTATCTATATTTTTTCGTTCACCTGTCTTGGAGAGGGGCGGAGAATGAGAAGATTTTATTTTGGATTAGAGCAATTTCAAACATCTTTCTTCTCTCATTTTGTTTTTCTTCCTCGCGTTGGGCCATTTCACGCCTAGGTACATTTGGCCCCTGGATCTATTTGCTCGCTTCCCGAATTCACGAAAGCTGAGAATTCTCCAAGGAATCCGGGAACAAATACATCTACGAATATTCGCTCCCTGATTATTCTCTCCCAAAAAACTAGGCCTCACTGAAAATTTGTTCACTCTCCAACATTCCTCCCTGCCAAATTTGACATTGGAAAATGTTCCCCTCAAGAAAATCTGCCCTAAGAAAAAGCGTTGACGGAAAATTCGTTTGATCGCAAAATGCACTTGCTCCTGAAAATTCATCCACGAAACCTCGCTCTATGATTACTCTCCCCCAACAAAACTAGGCGTCAATGAAAATGTGTTCACTCTCAAACCCCCCTACCAAATTCGACGTGGGAATGTTGTTCCCTCAGCCCTAAAAAAAGGCGTTCACGAAATAGTCATTTAGTCGCATGGTTCGGATAACTACTTTATACTTGTTTTTGGGGGGGGAAGTCTACCAACAGGTTTTTCCCGCGCGCAAATTGGTAATTTTTCGGAAACTTTCTCCCGGAAGTAAACAATTGCCGGAATTTCCCCAACTTGTCGAGTACAACCTTCATTTCACTGTTGAGTGTGGTCAGGGCGACCGTTGGGGGAGTGCCAATTATTGGCGCATAATCTTCCAAAATTGGACATGAACCCGGGTCGAGCTCTCAACATCTCCGGTCGGAACTGGATGCGTTGGAATTCCAAAGATCAACGATCACACCATGTGACTTACTAGGAGAGATAGCGCGTTTATTTATTAAGATGCGCTTACTAATAGATAAAAAAGGGGAACGTCATCCTCGTACCTATTATAAATTCCCCCACTTCACTAATCGCCGCTCTCGATTCTCTCTCACTTCGGTGCCGGACGTCGGCGCACTTACTGTACTTTTTACTCGGCTCAGCTGTTCTCGCGTCTATAGCATGCGTAGCCAAATTTAGTCTAATTCGTGTTTTATGTAACAACGTCCGCGTGTGACACTCGTATTAATCATGCTACAGTCGACGAGAATAAAATCAGTGACCATGTTGGAGCAAGATTTGACCACGACATCCCTACCGGGTGTCGTCGACGAATTTATTGTGGTACTTCGACAGCTGCTCAGAAAGGTAGGCAATTAAGAACCGCTTAATTGGGTTTTCGCGAAGGTTCTCTCTTGCCATGGGGCCAACCGCGTTACCATGGCACGAAGTGTTGGAAAAAGGCGCTCTTCTTTAATCTCCATTATCCCTCGTCATAGAGATAAGCGAGGTTATCGTTATCGCAGTCGTAAGTGAGCGTTTCGAAAAAGTTCACTGGCAAGGTACAGGTCCATGGTAGTTCGGACAGCACCAGCCTGCTGCAACATCCAATCATTTCCAAAATCCAATGACCTTTTTTTAAAATTGAGAATGAGAAACAAAACTTCGTTTTTTTTAGGGTTGATTTTTTGGGAATGGACATTTTTTAATCCTTTCAAGTTTACAAATTATCGGAGATCAAAGGAATCTCCATTGGGCCTTTACAAACAACTGGTTCATGCAAATTATACATATAAGATACAGTGCTATGGTTCAAAGATATTGATTATTAAGTATACAGGGTGTTTTTTGTATGTACAGGAGAGGTTAAATGAGTGTAGAATGTGGCCGGCTAAATTAATTACACGAAACGAAATTTTTCGAATATGTGTGGAACTTCTGTTTGTTTAATTTCATACTTTGGAGTGTACAGTGTCATTCTCTACACATTTCCGATGTGGTGTATCTTTCAATTTTCAATCTAGTAGTAGGTTCTACTAATCCATGGTGGCAAAGCAGAATTTATTTCTAGTATTTTGTATTTTTAACAAAAGATCAATGGTTTGTCGGACTGTGGTTGTTAGCAATGAATTTCTTTCCTTGAGACCTTTCATTAGAGTACCATGAAGGATAAAACCAGTTCTCCCCCCCCCCCTCCTAACACCCTATATTTATAAGGAGATAAGGGATAAGGGAAAATGGCGGGAGTTGGTAGAAAACAATTACCTTCGTCGAGACCTTTAAGAGTACCGTGACAAATAAAACCAATTCCGCCCTCCCCCGCCCTTCATCTTACCACCCCCTGATTTCAAAAAGGAATCGTGGAAGACAGTTATAGTGTGTAAAACCAATTCTTTACGATGAAACCTTCGATTAGAATACCATGAAGGGTAAAACGTATGTTTAGCCCCCCCCCCCCTCTCAAAAAGTTTTGCATGGCACCAGTAGATGCATGCGTGTGCAAAATCTGGTTGTCCCATGCAGAAGTTAACGCACGTAAACCAATTCCTTTTGACGGCAGACTTTCATTAGAATACCGTGAAGAGTAAAACGTGGTTTCGCCCCCCCCCCTCCACAATTAAAAAAAAATTTTGGCACGACTAGTATCTGAGGCAAATATACAACTTGTGCAAGTTAATAAATAAATAAATCTTGGGAAATTATTTATGGGGGAGTCCCCCCTTCACACGACAAAAGTTAAAGGCCGTCTGGCACGCCTTCCAGGTATAGGCTACCTATTGTAAACTATTTCAGGAGCCTGGGACACCAAAAAGTAGTTCAAAACCGCAGAAGTGGGTCCGGACAGACGAACGAACAGAACGCAAACAATATGTGCCTTTCATTCTTAAAAAATGCGCAAAACATTTGTTGACACATGGTCTTTGTGCGACCGCCATTTTGAATTTTTAGCGTGCTATTTTTTGCGTTTTGTCCGCCTGTCTGTCCTAGAGGTCTGTAATTTGTCGCAGTAGGTAGCGTATAACTCGACGGTGTGCAACACGGCCTTTAAATTTTGTTGTCTTGAGGGGGCCACCCCCATTAATTATATCCAGAGTTACTGTTTCTGAAAGTAAAACGCGCACAACTTTCACATGGGACAAGCAGATTTTTGCACACGCATGCTCTCTAGTGGTCCAAAGTAAAACTTTTGAAAATGAGGGGCGAGGGGGGATAACACAGGGTCTAATATTCTAATGAAAGATCTCATCAAAGGAAATTGGTTTTTACAAACTATAATTCTCTTCCGCGATTTTAGAGACCAGGGGGTAACGGCAGGGGGGGGGGGTAGAAATTGGTTTTGATCTTTCATGGTACTCTAATTAAAGGTCTCAATGAAAGGAACCGTTTTCTACCATCTACCGTCCTTCTCTCTCACCCCTTATCCAAATTGAGGGCAAGGGGGGAGTCACTGACTTTATTTATCCTTCATGTTACTCTAATGGAAGAAATTGACTTCTACCAACTATCGCTTTCCACCACGACCTACTGTCGGCATCGGTTATATTTCCTTACCTTTCTGTAATTGGTGGAGGAGGAGGGGGTTTGAAAACTGGTAGGAATTAATTCCTACTGCCCTCTTCTCCAACATCTTTTCGAAATCAGTTATAATTCCTTATATCACTAGAACACTGTGAGACATCTCAAAACTATAAGTGCGAATATCTCGAGACTGGAATGTGGGAGGAGGGCACTTAGCGCCTTTCGGTTTTGCGACCCGAATCGGAAGGATCTACAGGACAAGCCGGCGTAGTTCGAGTACCTCAACACCACTATCCCTCATGCTGGCGTGCAAATGCCGGTTCCCAGTATAGCAGCTCCTCTTCGTTGCGCTGACATTTGCCACAAGGACAATTTGTGTGATTGGGATTCAAACAATACGCCCGGTATAAAATGAAAAGTAGGCTTAGAAACGTCGGCGTCGTGACAACGTCAGTTAGCTGCAATCAACTGACGCATAAACAGCACAAGATGTTCATGGGGAATCTAATACGACTCTGTGAATACCCGATCTGGTCCATGGTGAAACTAATGAAATGTTTTTTTCCAGTATTTAGACATCGGGGAGGATATGAACGTTCCTGATGATTTCACTCAGACAGAAATGCAAACTGGTATGTGGTGGAGGCATCTAGCGGCCGGTGGCGTTGCGGGAGCAGTGTCACGAACCTGTACCGCCCCGTTAGATAGGTTAAAAGTATTCTTGCAAGTAAGTGAACGATCGCGGCCGACTAGTGACTAACCCGAGACCTTTTCCAGGTACAATCGTCCCGGCAAACTATATCCGAGTGTCTCCGCTCGATGCTGAAAGAGGGCGGAGTGGCCAGTTTGTGGCGCGGGAACGGCATTAACGTTCTTAAGATCGCGCCGGAAACGGCCATAAAGTTCGCGGCCTACGAGCAAATCAAGAGGTTCATTAAAGGCGATGGCGATCACACTTTGGGAATGTACGAGCGTTTCTGCGCCGGGGCGCTGGCGGGCGGGATCAGTCAGACGGCGATATATCCCCTGGAAGTTTTAAAGACGCGACTCGCGCTCCGAAAGACGGGGCAATACAAAAGTATTTTAGACGCCGCCACCAAGATTTATTCCAATGAGGGCGTAATGAGCTTTTATCGCGGCTACATTCCAAATATCTTAGGCATCATACCGTACGCCGGAATCGATCTGGCTGTGTATGAAACGTTAAAGAAGAAGTACCTTAAAACGCATTCTAGCAACGAGCAACCCGGCTTTTGGCTTTTACTTGCGTGCGGCAGTTGTTCAAGCACTTTAGGCCAGATGTGCTCGTACCCATTAGCATTAGTTAGGACTCGGTTGCAGGCGCAAGGTAAGACTCCTGTTAATTTAATTGGAGAACTGTTGCTTAATTATCCTTTATAGTTACACAACGATCCGTCGACAAGGTGAACACGACCATGACGGGCGTGTTTCGTACAATAGTTCAAAAAGAAGGCGTACTAGGCCTGTATCGAGGCATTACGCCGAACTTCATCAAAGTAATGCCTGCAGTAAGCATAAGTTACGTCGTTTACGAATATTCAAGTCGACTACTTGGAGTGAACATGACGTGATGTAGGCAAAGCTTAGGAATCCATTTTATTTATTCTGATAAATGTAATAAATACAACCCTCTCAGCGCGCAGGAGTGAAGAAATCTCTGTCGCGGCAAATTACGTGAATGCTATTTATTTTGTATCGATACTAAGAAGCTTGTTACCCTTTTTTTCGAGAATTTTTTTTTTTTTTGGTCCAGGTGGTGTGTAACTTCTGCCTTTTTCACTTTAGGTGTTAAAATAAATAAATGTATTTACTGAAATGACATTCAATTAATGTATTCCAGAGGTTTAAAGTTGAAAGATGATGTGATGTACTTAATATTTTAATATGTTATAATTTATTGTAAATGTATTTCTATAAAATGTATTAAAAATTTAATAAAGTTACTTCTTCAAATATTTCCCCGCTGCTTTGTCCACGATCCAAAAGAGTTTGCCGGATTTCGGCTTGACTCGATTCACTGGAAGGTCCTCTTTATCGACTAGCACGCGCTATAACAATACATTATCACAATTTTGACAGTATATTAATACGGACCAGAATCCATGCTATATAAAAATTTGGAAGAATAATATATTTAATTTTTATATATTTATATTATTAAATATTGTGATATTTTAAAAATTGTAATATTTGTTCATTCTCCCAAATATTTAAATTGCGGGAGCAAAATCAGTAAAGATGAAATTTACAGTAAACTTACTCTCAACATGTCCGCCTTACCATCACCCCACATGGCAAAAATGCAAGCTTTCGCATTGTTAATCACGGGAAAAGTGATCGTGACCCGAGCCGGGGGAGGTTTCGGCGAGTCCGTGATCGGAGCGACCCACCTCGAGTCGTCTTCCAGAAGCGGATGGCCCGGGAACAGCGAGCAGGTGTGTCCATCTGGTCCCATTCCCAGCAACAGAAGGTCGAACGCGGGCCAGGACCCCGTAAAGTATTGCGCCATCTGTTGGACGTAATCCTTGGCGGCGACGTCCGCCGTAACTCCCTGCTTTATCTGTACGAATTGGTCCTCCGTTATCGGTACCTTTCCGACGAGATCTTTTTTGTACGCGCCGAATGTCGAATCCGGATCGTCGACGGGCACGACTCTCTCGTCGTTAAAGAAAATCTTCCACTTGCTAAAGTCTGTTCGGATTCCTTTTAATCCGGCGATTAGTAATGTTATTAGGGATCCACCTGATGAGCAAAACGTTCAATTACACGTAGCTAAATGACTTGTGATATTCACCTGAGACTCCCACGAAAAATCCATTGTGATCATTAATCGCTTCATTTGAAGCTGTTTCAATTAATTTGGCAAGTTCTTGACTTAATTCGTGCTCGTTTTCCTTTATTATTACACTCATTTTTAGGTTAGCGTTGTTACTAGCCGGCTGGGCAGAGATGAATGAGAGTTTGGGAAAGTGGGGGCTCGATGTCGAGGTAAAGGTCAATATTATCTAAACGATAATTAATTCATTATCTTTTGATTAATGTAAGGCATATACACCGTAATAATCCGTAATTGATACAAGAATACACAATGGTAATCGTCAAAAGTCCTGTAGCCAGACAACTTTAAGAAAATTTTTTTTGCGGATCAATCTGAGACAATTTTTTTTTCGGGGCTCAAAAAAAGACAGTTAACCTTCCTTTTTTACCAAAAATCGACTGCACCAAAATTTCTCGGGAAAACACTTTTTCTTATTAATTTTGGTGCGTAGAATCCAAAACAATTCGTACTTTTTCGATGAGACTTCTCAATCAAAAGTTATAGACTAGAAACCAATTTCGAAAGAAAATTCAAAGGGCTGTAACTTTTGAACTAGTAGCCCAATCTTGGAACTGTTTGAAATTATGGATTCTACAGGCCACATTCTATAAGAAAATTTTTTTTCCGGGTCGATCTGAGACAATTTTTTTTTCGGGGCTCAAAAAAAGGCAGTGTACAACCTTCCTTTTTTACCAAAAATCGACTGCACCAAAATTTCTGGGGAAAACACTTTTTCTTATTAATTTTGGTGCGTAGAATCCAAAACAATTCGTACTTTTTCGATCAGACTTCTCAATCAAAAGTTATAGACCAATTTCGAAAAAAAATTCAAAGGGCTGTAACTTTTGAACTAGTCAGAGACTAGTAACAAGTCTCTGCTCCCGGGGTGTTTATACACCCCAGCCAGCTTCGCTATTCAACAGAACCTCGCCATGGGTCGTCTGCGCCCCGTCCTTTGGGATTTGAATGAGATTAGATTAAGTTACATACCTATTGCAATTAAATGTTATTTGTGTATCTGGATTTTTCATTGCCAAGACAAAGGTTATACCCACTGGTGCCGAGGGTTCACAAAGCTTGTATTTTTATTTTATTTTAATTTTATATTTTTATTTACTTTTTGGCGTGACTTGTACACGCCTTGCGCCCAAAATTATATGATATAGTTGACCCCCCCCCCCTGTGGGCGCCCATTGTAAGTACCGTATTTATTTTTCATACTTTCCGACCCGTAAATATTAATTAATTAAGTTTGCCGCACGGTATTTACCGCTTTTGCTTTTTCTTGCAGAGAAATTTCTACCGCTGCGTTTAATTGCAAGCTTTTTGTAACTGTTTGTTCCATTAATTATAAAGGGAGGTATTGTTTCTCTTTCCTGCATTTGATTTCCCGTAGCTACCGCTAATTAATTGTAACTTGTGGATCTAGTCACTAGTGGTTACGGATTGAGTTACTCCTTTCACCTGTTTGAGAATAATGTTGACCTTCCGACCGTCTACAAGCCGTCGATAGGTGAGGCAGTTGGTTTTTTAATGCGCATGGGAAACAAAACAATCTTTTTGACTGTTGACTGTCAGTTACAAATGAAAAAAAAGTTCCAATTGCTTATGAGAGAAACGACTAATTTGCACTACGAAAACATCCCTTCCCCCGGGGATGGAGGTAAGTCCAAACTTTGCGTGCGTTGGCAGAACGAAACTCGAAATCGCAGTACAGGTACTAACTAATCAGAAGATTTTATTAAATAACGGACGTCGGTATAGGTATACAACGCAATGCTAAAACTCGATACACCTTGAGCGATTCCCTCGGGAAATTATTAAATGTAAAGTTCGTGATGTAATACGGTATTTACGTTGAAGAACATACATAATGTAGTTTGTAATGTAATTGTTAATGCATGAAAACTGTCCATTGGGTTTGATAATTTAACGGATTTAACCCTGAAATCAATACTCCTCCGCAAAACTGGTGCCGAATTTGCATTTAAACCGGACGTTGTTGATTACAGCGGAACAATTTTCATTAAGCTCGGTGGAAATGTGAATATTGGACAGTTGTGTGTAATTTAGTTGGAATTGAAAATGCTTCGCTTCGCTTAAGTTGTGCTACCAAGCGATTACTTTGTCTGTCTGTACGTCGGGTGTCGGAACTGCGCCATGAACATGGTTTCGAAATTTAACAAAATTCTTTCTCACTACTCTAATGAGGACCGTATACCTACCAGAGAAGTGAGATATTAACTATTGTACATAAATTCCTCTTCACGCGCCTTTCAAGTACATCTCACGTTTCCTTAAATATCTCTTCAAGTACGTCAAGTTCTCAAATTGCCTTCATGTTTACCTCAATTCCTTCTTAGGTGCCTCTGAAGTACTCTTCTCAGGAACTTCAACTTTTCGTCACAAGTTCCTCTCCAATTCTCTTCAAATTTGTATCAAAAAAAATTAATTGTTCTTCTTAAGATCCTTTTCGCTACTATCGCACATTTATGGCTTTTATAATTCCCTTCGAAGAATTTTTTAAAGCACTCGGCCACTGTTTTGACGGAACGTCCGTCTAGTTGAAATTATGTTTTAATCCTTTTTACTCCCACAAATTTCACTGTTTGTCGCTTCCGAATTTTAAGTATTCCTCACGCGCTAACAAATTTAACGCTGACAGCTTGCTCAAATAGGAACGACTTTCCTATAACACTTTACGTTCCCGGGACGTGAGTTCCAACACAGCACTGAGTGCTACGCTGGCTCACAACCGAATGTCTTCAAAAATCTCTTGCCGGATTGATCCCTACCTATCTTTTTTAATTAATTAACGCCCTAAAATTGCGCTTTATTAATGAAATCGGCCATTTTTAACAATTCACTCGTTTGATTCGTTTAACATCCTCCATTTGCGCCATCTCTAGAACCGTAACTCGAAATCCCACGCAAGTTTAAATGTGCAATCTTGCATTTCCCATATTATTGCAATGGAAACACGTCACGCACTTCTGTACAGACAGACAGACAGACAGACAATATAATCTACACCAAATGCCGGGCAGACTCGTGCGGTCGGAACTACTCAGCAAATAAGGTCTTGATAACTTTTTTCTGGGGGATATTTCATAACTCCCAGCCCCCCCCCCCTCAATGACGTACCATTTCTGAGAAATTGTGTTAAAAGTGGAGGGGGTTCAAAACGACTAAGCAAAGAAGGGCTCAATTACCCTTTCCCTATAACCCTCAGTATCTTTATGGTAGTGTTCTGACAATTGCAATGGAACTATCGCTGTGCTGGAGGGTATTTTATACCCCCCAGACCCCCCGGTAGTACCTTCTATCACAAACCGTTTAGGCTTCAGGACTCGTATGACAGTTGGTGGTGAATGATTATAAGGTCCTCTTTTTCGTATTGCAGAGAACCGTGGGGGGGGGGGCGAGGGTGCCTGGGGGGTATGTAATGTCTCCCCCAGTAACGAAAAAGTCGATGACCATTTTCGGAAAATTGTGTGGAGAACACCTTCTCTCACAAACAATTTAGGCTTCAAAACTCGCATGATAGTTATTGGGTAAGAATTATGTGATCCTCTTCTCCGTTCTGCAGAAAACGTACCACCAGGGGGCCTGGGGGTATATAATACCCCCCAGCAACGAAAAAGTCGATGACCATTTCCGGAAAATGGTGTTAAAATATTCCTTTCCTTGTACGTGTATAGTAATATACTGGTAATTACAATGGAACAGTAGTGGCGAAGGGGAGAGGAGGGATATTCCCCAGACCCTGAGAATTATGAGGTCATCTTCTTTGTAGTGAGGAGAACGTATCGCCGGGGGGTATGGAATACCTTGAAAAAGCGATCAAACTATGACTGTATGCAAATAATTAATTGATACCGCTATGCCGATGACAATGTCTTCTATCTCCCCAACTCCACTATGACAGTACGTGTCAATCCGGTTGGTAGCATTGATGGACACAGATGACATCATTGACATTGCCTGTGTTTCGTTATAATTATTACATTTGTATTAAACTCGTAATTAACCCAACAACTAGGATCAAATTAGGACTACACTAGAATTCAAAAAGAACATGTCAAATCCATTCAGAACCCAAAATTGAACATACTCTTATTTAGCCAATACGGCAACGGTTTAAATGTAAATTGATTCAAACTCGATATAAAACGCATAGAAATCGTAAGAAGAACTCACAAGGTTATGCAAATGGCCGTTACTAACGTATTCGCCAAAATTCAATTTATATCCTCCACAATAAGAGACAAGTGTTCAGACTCGATTTAAAATAATTCCGGTATTCGCCAGATATTAAATTTATTAGAGATGAACACGCGACGTGGAAAACGCATTCAACCCGGAAAAATGGGATCGAATCCTAAATGCGAAGTATGCGATCCCCCCAAATACCTGGAACAATGATCAAAAGTTACCTATTACACAGCTTTCTACTAACAGGGCAGGAGGGAAAACTGAAAATTACGTGCGGAATTTCGCACTGATCGGTCCTTGGCACTCTGGAACATTTATCTGGTCTTGGACCTGGAAATTACAATCGGACCACGCACAGTTGCTTTTCCTGCGCTTGTGGATGGTTAGAGTGTGGCAGCTCACAGAACAACGAGAAGAAGATACCCGGGCGACATATTCATGCGAATGGGAGCCCACGAGATCAAAACCAGCCGATAGTGTCCAGTATCTATCTACTGGACAAAAAGGGGACTGACTTTTTTCCCATACCTAGAGGCAGCTAAAAGCTGAAAAAATTGCGGCAGTGCTTGCACGGGCGAACTCTTGGGATCTTGTAGCTGAGACACCTCTACGAAGGAATGGATCCAAGAGAAAAGAGAGAAGAACAACGGAAATCTGGCAACAGAGATCGCCGGCGACAGAAAAAGTTACATGGCAATGGTGTTTGATTGGCAGAAAGAAAAGGAAAGAGAACAGACTTCTACCTCTCGCAGGTACCTACTTCCCCACCATGGTATGCAGCTTGTCGTAGTGGTGGGGTGTAGTAGTCTCAATTTCGTGGCGAAACTAAGCATCCTAGGCGGGTGGTTGCTAGACTCCACGGAAGAACCAAGGAAGATTAAGAGAGAAGATACAGTGACTTTATAGAGACAGGCGCCATTT